GCCAAGTCCCAACAACCCATGTCCCCAAGTACTACATCTACACGTCTTTTAAATCTCTCTAGGGATGGTGACTCCACCAGTTCCCTGGGCAGCCTGTGCTAGGGCTGGACAACCCTCTCAGTGAAGAAATTTTTCCTAACACTCACTGCTACTATCACTTCAGCGAGTCTCTCAAAAACATGGGAGGGGAGAAGTGACAGAAGTGAATTTGTGTGGTGCTTAAGCTAACTTCCCTTGTCTAATGCTTTCCAATTCAGTATCTTAAATGTGTTTTAGAATAATCAGGGGCTCAGAAGACCCATATGAAGAATCAGGATCTTTACAAGGAGGAAACATGCACTGCAAGACGTTACATGCTCAAAATGACACAGTGATCATGCTTGGAGGAGATCCCCCCCTACCTTTCAGGTATCTAATCTCACCCACCTTTACAGGACTCCAGAGTGTGCTCAGGGATAATTTACAGCACTCACAAAACTGCCCCCAAATACTACACAGTGAGAATGAAGTATTACAAAAGCCTGTGTCTGCTCTACTCTGCTTAAGCACATTCTAGAGTTGTATTTGCTCAAGAAGTTTTATTCATTTTACAAGCACAGACTTACAAATCAAAAAGCTTTTCACTCACTCGAAGCTCAGCAAATCAATACTGTAAAAGCTAAGGGGAAAAAAAAATCACCTCACACTACCTTTTATGTGTAGCAAATGATTCAGATGAGTTTGATTTCTAGATTTTAGTGATGAAAATCCTCCTGATTGCACTCTCCCTCATGCAGGACTTGTAGACAGCTCTTTTAAACCTGGGGTTTTCTAATGTGCCAGGGAACTCCAACACAAAACCCAGACAGCTCGGATTAGTTCTGCTGTAAAACATTTGTGTGGTAGATGATGCCTGGGTTTTGGTTATGTCCAGAAAGCAGAGAAATGTTCTAAGTAAAAATCTCTTTGGCTACGAACCTCTGAGCATATACTGAGTCTTTGTGTTGACTTGCATGACGGCTTTCTCTACGTGGCATGAAAAGGGCCTTTCATCACACAGTCCCTGCCTCTCCTCATGTCAGGATAAAAGGAAATGACACAATTTCTAACCCCCCTTTTCACCCTCAGTGTTGCTCTGTGTTATTTTTATAACCGTTAGCCCAAGCCTGCCTAAGAAAACTGGATTATATTCCTAAACATAAAAAAAAATAGAAAACCCCATTGGTTTAATGGATAGGACACTGAAGGATATTCTGTATATTTAGATGGGAAAAGGAGCCACTGTTTTTTTTATTTTGAAACCTGCTATTTATGTACAACTTCATACGCCTGGAATTCACTTTTATCAGTTCCTTTTGGCTTCAGTAAGGTCTTCAGGGTGTGTCTGTTTGCCACAAACTTTACTCAAGATAAAAAGAAAAAGACTACAACACAGAACTGAGGGATTTTCCAGTATCTCTCTGTTATAAGTGACTGCCAGTCACTTATCAGTGACTAAAGATATGGGGAGGTTCTGCAGTTCTGGAGATCTGATGACTTTTACAGACTCTTTCTGGAGCCCATCTGGGCCTTTCTTTCTGATCCCATGACATAGCAGAGGTGAGCTACCACCTGCCTGGCATCTGTTTTTGGGGGAACACAACCTGCAACACAGGGCTGGCTTCCACATTCCTCTGTCACAGATCACAGTCACTCGACAGTAAGAGAAAAATTGATTGTGAAGCTCATTCACCTACTGAAATAACGTACTACAAGCTTAAACTGAAGATGTGAGCATCTAAGAGTAGAAACTAAATCAAAGGTTAATCAGAAGTATTCCTTCTATTACACTCATCTCAGTTTTCCAGATTATTTTTCTACATTTCATGTGCACGAGTTGACACTGTATGTGATCACTACCCACTCTCAGGTACCTGTTTTGCTAGACATGAAAAGTTAAAAACGAATGTATAAACACACGATCTAAAGAGACATGAACAATTCCTTAAAGAGCTGTAAAGGAGAAGCAGGTGAATGAGAAATCAATGAACTGAACCAGAGCTGGGCTACTACCTCTGGATCCTTGGAAAATCTCCCCCTAAGAGTATAAAAGGAGAGCATATCACACTATTTTGACAAGTAAAGCTTTGACCTTACTTTTGTTGGACAACAGCCTTTTTCAAATAATGTCTTAACTCTTGTGGAGCAACAAGGAAATTCAATACTGCCATGATAACAACGAGATAAGCACTGGAACAGCACTGTATGCACCTTGGAATTTGACAAAACACTTAACATCCTCCAACAAAACATTCAAGCCACGAACATCTACTTCAACAAAGGACTTAAAATAATGTGAATACCAAAAAAAGACATACCGTGTTTAAGCAATACATTTGGGAGCAGAACGACCTTACTTTTGGCACAATAACCACCAGCCGTTCAATCATGCGGGAAAACCTGCAAAGCCGGACAACAAAACCTCGCTTGTGTGAAATATGTAATCTCCTCCTACTTCAAATGTCGGTTCTCCTGAGCAGCAGCAGCGAAGCCGCTCACCAGCATCTCTGGGGAAGATCCCACGGAATCGGCAGCTCCGCTGGCAGCCAGCCTTTCCAGGAAGGTCATCTCACCTCCGAGAGCAGCTGTACGAGTGTGTTGGCTGCTCTGCCCTGCCCTGTGTGAAGCAGATCCCTCCTGCAGACCAGCCACATCCTCGCACAGTGCTCCGGCAGGCTCCATCCGAACCGGATTTTTTACGGAGACTTTGCTAAGAAGTACTTCCACCAAGTCAGGGCCCTCCTCCCGCCCTTACCGTGGGCAAGCAGAGGTGAAGCACTGAAGAGCTGCTGCGTTGGGCGGCGAGGAGGATGGGCGGTGGGAGAGCTGCCCAAAGGTATTTCCTGGGGCAGTGGCCGCCAGCTCAGCTGCCCACCACGGCCCCAGCCCAGCTCCATCCGCAGGGCAGCAGGGAGAGAGCCCGTCCGGCTCCCAGCGGAAACCCACGCACTGTGCTGGGTAACGGCGTGCTGACAAGAATGCTGTTTGTTGAGCTGGCTGGGGTTTTTTTATGTTAACAAAACCCTGCAAGAAGAAGAGACACCAAGAAGAACCCCACGCGCTGTTTACACTCCTGAAACTGCGAAGTTTCGCTGAGAGCTCGTGTGTCGCTCTGGGAGCCAACCAACCAGCAACTTACGCTGCCGGGAGGGCGAAAGGGAAGTAAGTCACAGCAGCATTTTAGTTTGTAAAGCAACATTCACTTTCACCCGCAGGGTCCCGAATACAACATTCACTTTCACTGTCTTCACATCCAGCCCCTCCGCTCCCGCCTCGGCAGGAGCTCTCCCCACGGACCCGCGGCTTCCATCTGCCGCTTTCCTCCTCCTACCCTGCGGAGCGGCTCCCAGGGGGGGGCAGCAGCCGAGGAGGGTCCGCAGCCGGACGCCGCTGCCGCCCCGACCCCCTGCCCGGCCCGGGCCGCCTCCCCTCCCTCGCCACTCACCGCGGGGCCGCCGGCGGCTCCTGCAGACCTCGGGCGGGTGGGACCGACGGACAGACGGACCGACGGACGGTCGGACCGAGCGCGGTGGCTGCCGGCGGCACCGCCCCGCGAGGGGCCGGGAGCGGCGGGCAGGGAGGACGGGCAGGGCCGCGCCCCTCAGCCCGCCCGCCCTGCCCCGCTGCCGAATGGATGCCACGTGTGGTCCGAGTTAGGAGGGGCCCGCGGGATGGCTGGTGCAGAGAGTGGCTCCCCGGTTCTGTTCCTGTTCCCGTAGCCGGGGAAAAAACCCGCCCTGCAGCGAGGAACCCGCTCCGTTGTTGAGGAACCCACGTTTCAGGCGGGGAAGTCGCATTCACGCTTCTAAGTTGAAAGATTGATTAGGGTTGGTAACGCGAAATAAAAGTGAGCTTAAACTTTCCGCAGATAGGGAAACTGCAACAGTTTCTGACAGAGGACAGGGCCCCTTTTTCCTCTGAGGTACCACAAGGATTCATAAAAAATTAGTCTTTTAAAATCCCTCCGTGATGTTTGTTTTGGTGTCCGGGTGTGTCTGGGAGGTAATTCCAGCTGGGAAGGACAGAAGAAACCTGACAATGTCGGTATTAAAAACACCAGGTTTTTGTTCAGTACTCTGATTTTATCTCTAGGCTGGAGGTCAAGGCTGGAGGGGCCATGCCCAGCCTCGTCTGCCTTTCCTTCACCGTTTCCAGAGAAAAGCAGACATTTGATCTGGAATCAAACATTGCGCAATATTTGCATTCCAGGTGAAACCTTGAGCTGTCAAAACTGAACATGAATGTATTTTAGCATATGCAAACCTGTAGCGTCCCTCAAGGTCTTTCACTGTCCCTGCTGGGGTGAAGAGCTCCTGCTTGGGATGCTTCATGCAAATAACTGCGTCTGAAGGCAGCAGAAACACAAGCAACTGGCAGGAATATCATCTCTTCCTCCCCAAGGTGTTTGGACAAGCATAAAAATTTACTAATCCAGACCACATATGGCACAGGCGGTTTTGCTTCTGCATCGGATGCCTTTGATTGGGCAGGATGGGCACAGGCAAAAGCTGCTGCCTTAGAGCCAAGATCAACATTGCTGCTGCTTAGTTTTGTTGCAGTTCCTATTGTGCTCTCAACTTTAGGACAAAATCAATTGCCACTGACTTTTGCAAACTGAATTACTTTAATAACATGCTGCCAACACACTATTTGATACAGCCGAGCAAAAATGAGCAACTTAATAGTATTTCCATCATGGTTAACAGAACAAATAAGAGAGAAGCTCTTGTAGTAAGAGGCAGTGACATACCCCACAGAGGCCATCACAGCAACCCATAAACCCTTTTCTGATATGACAGCTTAACAACCCTCCCCCTATACAGCAACAGTCCCAATTCCTAGGCCTGGAAATACAAAGCAACACCTTCTCCCCACATCAAAATAGGAGCTTCAAAGACCCATCAGACACGCTGATGGCAGCATGGACTGGATACTTCAAAGGGATGCTTACTGTCTCTATAAGCCTGAGGCAGGGTGTTTCTTCAGCAGTCCAAGTCTGCCCATACAACTTCGAGGTTGTTGGCCTAGGAACATGCAGAGGTAATCGTGAGGCACTTGCAGGCAGCACTCAGACAGGGCACAAATGACTCCAAGCTTCCAGCAGCTCTCATTGTTGGTGTTCACCTCTCAGAAACTCTGGACACTCTGCATGTCTGGGACAGCACTGCACATATTTGAGTCCTGTCCTGGTTTATCTGGGAGTGGGCAGGTGGGGAGCAATTTTATTGTGCATCACTTGTTTTAGTTGGTTTTTTTCACTCTCTTTGCTCCTTTCTATTACTGTTATCATTAGTATCATTTTGCTTTGTTTCAGTTATCAAACTGCTCTTATCTCAACCCACAGGTTTTACACATTTTTCAGAATCTCTGAGGAAACCCACCAAAGCTAGTATTTGAAGCGGTACAGGCAGCGATGCCGGAGCGAGTGGGCAAACCAGGATTTGAAGAGCTGCCTGGACGGTGAAAGGAGAAGGCAGGGGCAGCAGAAAGGGAGAAAACACTTGGGTTATGTGGATGCTGGGGTCCACCTGTACCGCTGTGAGGAGTTGAAAACACCACTACAGAGAAAGAGAAAAAACATGTTATGATTAACAGATAATTGTGCATTGATGAAAGCTGGACTTCCCAATCCAACTCATCCAAGTCAATCCAAGCCATCCAAGCCCAACCCACCCAAAACGTATGTTAACTGAAACACCTTCTGCACTCTCTTAGCTGCTCCTATGTAATTCTGAGGTGGGTGGACAGCACATTTTGGGAAATGCTGCTCTTTCAGTTTTAGCACAGTGTGCTTCTTAGTGTACCCAAGGCTGTACAGATGGTGGCCAGTTAGGAGTGCACATCACTCACTGTCACACACGCTCCAACCCCAGCTGTCTCAGCCTTGACCCACGGCTCACTCTCACTGTCAGTGAGGGCTGAAGCACCATCAAGACAGCAGTAACAAGGGAACCCTGATTTTTTCGATTCAGTTGGACAAATGCCCCACCATGTACAGCTCTGGGATTGTAGGTTGAGCATACAAAGCATTACCAAAAAGCAGAATTATTTGCACAGAAAGAGCAGAGTATTTATGTCGTTAACAAACTCCACCTGCTGCTGCTGTGATGAGTTCTCAACTTTCCCCTTGAATCAAAGGCATGCCACAGACAGGGGAGGAGTTGCCGTTATCTTCTCTTAATCCTCACGGAAAACTCCTAGAAATTCCACACCTCTTTACCCAGAACCTGTTTTAACAGGGTGTATCCAAAGCATGCCCCAAAACACTGAAACCCAGGACAGGTTTCCCTTTCTGTACACACATTTGCATTTGTATGCAAATAAGCACACAAAGTTAGGAATCAACACTTCTAGTGTACTTGGTGTCTTGTATTACAACCCTTTCTTAAAGATGTTTTGTTGACTTTTCCATCTTGCTTTTGCTATAGTGAAATGATCACTTACCAGGTGGTGGTTTAATTGAGGACTCCATGTTTGAAAGGAATTGCTGGAAAAGGGAGAGAACATTGCGTGTTTTTGATTCATCCAAAGCAATAGGTGGGTTTGGCACTTTCACACCATCCGTGATAGGAACAGGCTTCCGTTCCCTAATACATGCAGAAAGAATCGTAGAACCATAGAATCATTAAGGTTGGAAAAGACCTCCAAGATCATCGAGTAGAACCTGTGACCCATTCCCATCTTGTCAACCAGACCAGAGCACTGAGTCTCAAGTCCAGTTGTTCCTTGAACATCTCCAGGGATGGTGACTCCACCACCTCCCTGGGCAGCCCCTTCCAATGTTTAATCACCCCTTCTGTGAAGAAATTCCTCCTAATGTCCAACTCAATCTCCCTTGGCACAGCGAGACACTATGTCCTCTCATCCTGTCCCTTGTTCCCTGGGAGCAGAGCCCAACCCCCACCTGGCTCCACACTCCTGTCAGGGAGTTGGAGAGAGTGAGAAGGTCCTCCCTGAGTCTCCTTTTCTCCAGGCTGAGCCCCCCCAGCTCCCTCAGCCCCTCCTCACATGACTGACTCTCCAGACCCTTCCCCAAATCAGTTGTCCTTCTCTGGACACGCTCCAGTCCCAAATGTCTTTCTTGCCATGAGGGGCCCAGAAGTGGACACAGCACTCGAGGTGTGGCCTCACCAGTGCCCAGTGCAGAAGGACAATCACTTCCCTGGGCCTGATGGCCACACTATTTTTGGTACAGGCCAGGATTCCATTGGCTTCTTGTCCACCTGGGCACACGCTGGCTCATTGTTCAGCCACTGCTGACCAGCACCCCCAGGTCCTTTCCCACCAGGCAGCTTTCCAGCCACTCTTCCCCCAGCCTGTAGCTGGGGTTGTTGTGACCCATGTGCAGGACCTGGCGTTTTGCCTTATTGAACCTCATGCACTTGTCCTCTGCCCGTCGATCCAGCCCATCCAGATCCCTCTGCAGAGCCTTCGTGCCCTCCAGCAGATCAACACTCCTGCCCAACTTACTGAGAGTGCACGTGATCCCCTCGTCCAGATCATCAGTAAAAATATTAAACCTTGGGAAGATCTTACCTGGCTTGAATTGCTGTAAAAGCCTGTAAAGACATTTTGAAAGTAGAATTAGCATAGCACTGGCACAGGCCAGCCCAAGGGCTGTGTATCTCCGGGAAGGGGGATGCTGTTAGGTACCCTGGTGAAAAGAAGTATATCTTTCTGATTTCTCAGAGCCTCCAGCTCCTGAATATCATGGCTGGCTGAACGCTTCTGCTCTCTGTGGTTCTTTAACTCCATGTGAATCCGAGAAATTTGTTGGTTCTCATAGTCACTGAGAGCTTTCAGGATCTCACGTTTTTTTTTCTCTAGCTGCAGACTGATCTCTTTGAATAGGCTCTCCAGTTGTTGCCACTGCAGACCCTTTTTAACCTATTAAGAAAACACTTTCAAAGCTGTAAGGGACTGTGTAGGGACATTTTCCACACAAGCTCTCACTCAGAAAAGGGCCTGTTCTTTTCTGGGATGAGAGAAATAACTAAAAATTGAATAAGGTTGGAAAAATAAAAAAGCCACACACCAATCACTCATCAGGAGGCACGGATTTAACAACAACTTTCAAGCTTAACTAAGAATGTACCTCCCAGACGGATAAGAAAGCTGTTCATAATCCTCCCTCAAAGAAGAAACCTCAAAAATACACTAGAAACCGCCCAGGATCTAAAAAAAGCTTCAGAATCCATGATCTGGGAAAGGGCAAAAGAAAACCTTATCTCATTAGTTACCAGCATGCAACCATCCCCAAAGTGATATGGGTCTTGGAACAAACCTTTACTTCCTCCGCTTGTTCCAGCAGGTTTGCTATGCTTCGATCCAGCGCAGCTTCATAGTTTATCACCTTTTTTAGAGTTTTTGGAAAAACACGCTACAAATAAAACCAGTGGGAGATATCAGGATAGGACTCACATACATGCATGAAACCAGCTGTCCCGGCAGCCTCTTACCTGCGCTTGGCCAAAAGCCTCCTCTAAGCTGATGATCTTGTGCTCCCTGTGGGAGCTGAGGACGGAGCACAGCATGCAGATGCAGACCTTGTCCATCTCGCAGTAGCATTCCAGCAATTTGCCGTGCTGGGGGCATTTCCTCTCAGCCAAAACCTGGGCACCACAGGGCTCCACCAGGACGTGGTTCTTCTGGGTGTTCTTTGTGCTGTGCTTGCTCAGGTGGGCTTGGCACAGGGAGGCCTCGCAACTCAGGCAAGTCTTCACGGCTGGATAGGGCTCCTGAAGGCAGAAGTCACACAGGATCACCTCCTCTTGCTGGTCTGAACTTTCCTCCTCCTCTTTGCATTGCACTTTCTGCTTTTCCTCCTCTTGCTGGTCTGAACTTTCCTCCTCCTCTTTGCATTGCACTTCCTGCTTTTCCTCCTCTTGCTGCCCCAAACTTTCCTCCTTCTCTTTGCATTGCACTTTCTGCTTTTCTTCCCCTTGATGAACAGAAGCATCCAAAAAGTTCTGCACTATGTTGCGGAGATGGAAGTTGGGCTTCAGCTCCCCAGTGGGGCCTGTGGGGGAAAGGCAGAGCGGGCACTTGGAAGAGCCCTGCTGGCATTTCTGATCCTTCTGGATGCACTCCTCGCAGAAGCTATGACCGCACCCCAGGGACACGGGGTTCCTGTAAATGTCCAGGCAGATGGGGCAGGTCAGCTCGTCCTTCAGCTTGGCCGCAGCACCCGCCTCGGCCATGGCGCCTGAGCCTCGAGAGAGGGCTGAGGGCAAGAAGGAGGGCACTGGTGGGAAATGAAACTGAAAGCGGGAGTGGAGCAGAGCCTCTCGTTTGCTCTGCGAGCAAAAAGCTGCTGCCTCCTCCCCCTTTAAAGGGAGGGTTTTCCCTCTCCTCCACCGAGCTTCCTGTGTCTCGCCTGCCACGTGAATTCGTCACAGCTGAATTCCATTCAGCAGCTCAGAGCTGGGAGCTTGGGTGCTTCAAGGGTAACAGGGCAAAGAGTCCACCCCTGCTTACACGGGGATGCAGCAGCCAGGACTCGGAGCGGGAAGGAAAGCTGGGAGGAGTCCCTGCGGCCATGGGGCAGCTGCTGCGGGCAGGGAGCCCCGGACAGCTGGACCAGCAGGGAGAGAGGTCCCCGAGCCGGCAGGGAGGAAAAGAACCAAACCTGCCCCTGTTCGCCTCTGCAAAGACACCTGGATGGACCTGGACGACAAACTGGGACTGATAAATGCTGAGAGTGGGCAAATGCATCCATTACTTAAAGTGCAGCCTCCAGAGCCCCTGTACAGACCTTGAGTGGCCCAAAGCTGAGGTCTGTGTCAGGGAGTGGGGATCCTGCACCTAGCAGAGCCCAGGGCAGGATTTGGTGTCAGATGCCACTGCTCAAGGCACAGGTGGGAGCTGCAGCTCCGAAGAGCTGCCCAGGACAGCTCACTGGGCAATGAAGCCCAAGCAGCAGCTGTTTGGGACAGGGTGGGATTGTTGGGGTGTCCTCTGCAGGGCCAGGAGTCGGAACCCACGTTTCAGGCAGGGAAGTCACGCTTCTAAGTTGAAAGATTGATTAGTGTTGGTAACGCAAGGTAAAAGTGAGCTTAAACTTTCCGCAGATAGGGAAACTGCAACAGTTTCTGACAGAGGACAGGGCCCCTTTTTCCTCTGAGGTACCACAAGGATTCATAAAAAATTAGTCTTTTAAAATCCCTCCGTGATGTTTGTTTTGGTGTCCGGGTGTGTCTGGGAGGTAATTCCAGCTGGGAAGGACAGAGGATCCCTGACAATGTTGGTATTATAAGACAAGGTTTTTGTTCAGTACTCTGATTTTATCTCTAGGCTGGAGGTCAAGGCTGGAGGGGCCATGCCCAGCCTTGTCTGCCTTTCCTTCAACATTTGCAGAGAAAAGCAGACATTTGATCTGAAATCAAACATTGCGCAATATTTGCATTCCAGGTGGAACCTTGAGCTGTCAAAAACCCCATCAATACACAGTTGGAGAAAGCAAGCCCAGCTTTGAGCCTGCAGAATCCACGTTCATGTCTTTCAGTGTTAGGCAAATGCTATCAATCTTGCTGTAGAAATACTGAATATTTCCATAGGAAACATTTACCCTCTCCATTAGGGTTTAACTAGATGTCATGGTAACTAGAACAGGCAAGCTGCAAAGGAAATAAAATAGCTCCTTCCCTCTCCCCTGACTATCCACTGTCAAAACAACCAGTGACTTTGACTTCCCAATCCCCCTAGGGACTTCTATGGGAGTTTTAATTGAGTTTGAAGTATATGGTGACTCCAAGACGACCAGAGCGAATCCATGGGAAGATTGACATCTATGACAAAAGCAGTAAGAGGAGCCTTATGTGGAGGGATGCTGCAGAATCCTAGCAAGAAATCACAAAACCAAGCAACGGGCGTTACAGCATTTTCATTCTTGTTCTAGAGGCTGTGGAACAACTTGGATCATGAAATGCATCATGCCTTCATGGACAAAACAAGTAATATCTTCTTGGAACGTGATAAAAAAATAATCCTAAGCATTATTTTTTTCCTGAACCACTGATATCATTAAGGCGTTTTTTTTCTTTTTACTTTTACACTGATTTTCTAAAAAAATGGAAAAAAATCCAAGCAAATATTTAAGATATTTAAATCATTTAAATTCCATCTGCTTTCCTTTTCTCAAGATATATTAAGCTTTATGGTTAATATTTGTCTGCTAAGGGAATTTTGGTCTTGGAGAAATGTGCCCCTGGGCTCCTCACACTCCAGAATCTCCTGCCAGGGAGCAGTGAGCTGGGGCTTGCTGACACACAAACACCAGCATGTGCCATCCCACTCAGTCTGCCTGGCAAACGCACTGCCTCTGGCTCTCCAGATTTCTCCATCATCTTTATAAATATCAAATCTCCAGAGACCAGTTTCTCGGACTGCAAAATAATCTTGGAAAACACTCCGTTTTGTTCCACCGAGCACACACTCCTGGCCAGCCCAGGGAAGCGCTCCCACCTTGCTTTTTGCCCAGCAGCTCTTGTACCGCCCCACTGTGCCCTGGTCTCACCTAGCAAATTTCTGCATGTGATGGTGTTATAATCCCTCTCTACTCTGACAATAAACCCTAATTGCAGTGGCTCTCCCTGGTTCTTCTCAGTCTTTTCCAGGCTTCCAGCTCTGCTTTATCACTCAGCAGATAAGGGCACCCCCAGCTGGTTTATGCCACCTGGTCCCCAGCCTTGCATAAGGAGCCTCCTGCTTTCAGTCACGTCCTCCTGGTACCTCCCTGCCCAGTGCCCTGGTCCTGCTGGGTGCACCTCCACGGGAGGGCTATGGTGGAAGTGCCTAAAACCATGATATTTTATCTCCTTGCCCTTCCTTCCCTGTGCAACTCACAGTCCACTGAGATTTGGGCCTGCATTTGCATTATGTTGCATTAAGTTTGGAGATGGAGAAGATGGGAACTGCCTGGTTCCCATCTGTGAAATTCATCTGTGTGTCAAAGCTGGGACAAACCTTCCTCCCCATCCAGGCATCTGGTCACCTAGACCTGCTGGGCTGAGAAGGCCCCAGTGTCAGACATACAGTGTCTAGATGTGGCAGCTCTGCCTTATTTAGAAAGCCCATCGGACTAAGTAACAGAAAGAGGCCTGTACTAGTGTTTGAAAATTCAGTCACATCATTCCATGCTTGGCAAAACCAAAAAAGAAGAGCCATAAAATCAGATACTTCACTCACCTCCCATCTTAAGGCGTCTATCAAGGATGAGACAAATGCCAAGTAAGAATGAAGTAGGTGGAGGGAAGGGGGCATAATAAAAAACAAAAGATGCAATGAATCCGAGTTCTTAGATAGTCAAAATACTTAAGCCATAAAGATATCAAAAAAGAAATAAGCTCTGTCCATATCTCAGGACTATGTATGTCACAATTATATTACTATCAAGAGTGTTCTGCACAGATATCTGTGCCAGTTTTGCTGAGGAAATGCTCAGCTGATATTTCAGAAGGGGCTACAGAGGTGCTGATGTTTCCTACGTGTAGTCAATGTGTGGTGCTCTGTGAGATGGTGGGGAGGGAGTGACTTAAAATACAATGTTTGAGTCAGTCTCACACTGTAGCAATTTGAGGCAGTGCAGTAACTCAGTCTGCAGCAGCAGCACTGAACTGCATTGGCTGGTCACAGCTCCTTCATCTGGGGTGACAGCCAGAGAGAAGCCCAGGTAATAAAAGTGCTGAAGGACAGGCTCATTTCTTTTGCCTCATTTGAGTGGTTGAGTGCAGCTGTCCTTCGTGTCTTGCTGGCTTCAAGCAGTAAGGAATATCTGCAAAGTCACCTTGAGCTACTGCTGAGCTCCCAGAATTTGGCCACACACTTTCTGTTATGCTGACAGTTGATGTGCGCAGCAGACCAAGGACTGAGGATACATTACAGCTTGGCCGGTCCATCTAAGCCATGAAGGGAGATGTTACTCTAAATCTGAGATGGATTTTGCTGCATTTAGTTTTAATCCCTGCAATTAGATATATGTTGATTATCACAAGTGACGGAATAGAGCTGTAGCCATGAATCCCACAAAAGCACGCAGAACTTTAGCCTTTCTTTCTTAAAAATGCTTTTGTTGGAAACCCTGTTTTGCAGTATTTTTATCATTTAGAGTAGAAACACCCAGGTTGTGAACCTACGTGTGGAATGTGAATCCCAGCTAGGCACAGAGCAGCCTCCAGCACCAGAGAGAGAGCCTAATTGCCTGGAAATGCCCATGAAATCCCCTTGTGGAGTTGGCACGTGCAGTAAAGGCTACATCAGGAAAACACAGGATGTGCTTGGTCAGGAAAGAACATCCCCAGCTGGTTGAGGGAAGTGATTGTCCTGCTCTGCTCTGCACTGGTGTGGCCTCACCTCAAGGCCAGTGTGCACCACAATATAAAAAATACATAAAGCTCTTAGAGAGCATCCAAAGGAGGGACATGAAGATGGTGAAGGGTCTGGACTGGCTGAGGTCACTTGGCTTGTTCAGCTGGAAGAGACTGAGGTCAGACCTCACTATGGTCTTTAACATCCTCCTGAGAGCAGCAGAGGGGCAGCTCTGATCTTTGCTCTCTGTGACCAGTGACAGGACCTGAGGGAACAGCTGGAGCTGTGTCAGGAGGGGTTAGGCTGAATATTGGGAAAAGGTTCTTCCCCCAGAGGGTGGTTGGGCACTGAACAGGCTCCCCAGGGCAGTGGTCACGGCCCCAGGGCTGACAGAGCTCAAGGAGCGTTTGGACAATGCTCTCAGGGTCAGGGTGGGATTGCTGGGGTGTCCTCTGCAGGGCCAGGAGTTGGAACTGATGATCCTTGTGGGTCCCTTCCAACTCAGCATATTCTGTGATTCTATGATCTGTACCCACGGAGATGTGGCCAATAAACCATCTTTGTGTGCTACTGACCGTGGTGGTTTCCATGGCTCTTTGAACACTCTGCGGAAGTGTTGAAACGTTGCCTAGAGGTTGATCCATACAAAGATAATACACTGCTACCAAGACACTTGTGTTGAATGTGATAATCCAAACCCGTAGCATGGTCCTGAACAGCTTTCTACTGCAGCCATCTACAAACAACGCTCTCAAAAACCAATTCCTGGTAATGGTATGAAATCACGCAGCCTTGCTTACCTGCACCACTTATTTGGTTATCCAGCCACCTAATGACAACAACAGAATCACCACAAATAATAGTGCACAAGTATAATGAGAACCACGAGATGATACAGCCCAGAGTTTGGAAAACAACAGCAGTCAGAGATTTTCTTACGTTCATGTTAATTCTTAGCACTTCTTTTTTAAATTTGCGTATGCTACAGAATTGATTTGAATGCCAGGGATATAGGGGAGGTCAAGACATTTGGCAGATTCTCATTATTAAAGGTAATTTTTAACAATATTAAACTTTTCCTTTCCATCTTGTTTTTCACCTCTCTTTTTCTTCTGGCCGTATGTGAATCAAAAATTTTGTTTATATCTGTCACACGCCGATCCTTTGCTTTGGTTTGTGCTGTAGGAATACACAAGACAGAAAAGTTTCACTTACTGTAATAATAGGCATATTTTATTGCTGTGTTAATAACATACTTGACAAGTTGCTGCCAAGTAGAGCTTTGCATTGCCTCAGAAAACTATATTTATTTTCTCTCCCATTTTGAGTAGCTGTCTCATTCTATATAGAGCACAGCCTGTAGAAGACTGTAGAAGACTGAGCTCACAAGACAAATGAATGGACATGTACACTGATTAAAAAATATACCTCTAGATTTGCTCCAAAAATTAAAAACTGCCAAACAGCTCAAACTGCCACAGTGGTGAAGAAAGTATGATTTTCTTTAAAATTTATGGCTTAAGAAAAACTTGTTTGCAAACTGCAGTTTCAGCAACAAAACAAAAAAAAAAAATTAAAAAAATCTTTTATATAACTTCTAAGTAACATTTATTCAAAAAAGCTAGGAGAAAAGATGCACCACTGCGCCCAGCAGAAATATATTTGAGCATTGGACTAGTGCTGTCTTAAGAGAAATACTGTTCACACATTTCATACCTCCTGCAGCATTTGGATTTGTCTGGGAATCCTTTCAGGCACTGGGTTTGCTCCAGCTTCTGCTCAGTTGGTGGGAACCCCTCTGTGGTCTTTCCTTGGAACAGGCTCAGACTTTTACTGAGTGCTGAAGCAAACCCAGTGTCTCCCTCAGGCTGAAGGTAAATGATTTCTCTGGTGAGTTCCCAGAGATTTCTGCCCAGTGCAGATTTTGAGAGCTGTGCCTTGAGGTTGCACGTCTGCTGGTTCACCTCTGGCAAGGAGAGGAGATGCATGCAACAAAATGCTGTTCACATTTTTAGGTGAGAGATTTTCTCTGTAAGGCTCACAGCACCAAGCCAGAGTCCTGAGGAATAAACAGTATTTTCTAACACTTAGGAGTTTGAAGAGGTACCAAAGCCCCACTGTAAAGAAACGGTGTTGAATGTTAGTGCTTCATGAAACACAAATCACATCTTGTTAACAGTGAAATAAGAGATGTGAATAGACCTGACCCTCCTCTTTTGAGAGGAAGGACAGCCTTCCAGACTCTGCTTGGTTCTCCTTGAAACTGAAGCAGAGAAGCACAGGACATAGGGTCCTTAAATAAAAAACTGCTGGAGAAATTTGTCAGGATCATTTTTTAAGTAAAGAAAAGGATTTACCTGTTACACTTCATTTGTTTGGTGAGTTTACCTGAAAAAAAAAATGGAGAAGAATGTTTAACAAAGCTGGCAAGAAATTCAAGTTTAGGGCTTGGTACTGTATCCCTGGATCTCATGGTCAGAGATCAACTAGGTGGGGATGGGGTGGGCAAATGAAGAGCACACTTCTTGAAAGCATGATTGAGCACCCAAAGACATGGGAAGTTGGTGGGAGCAGGAAATCACAGGGGCCAGAGGAGAAACTGGCCTTGCACTGCTTAGAACAGACTTCTTCCTTGTTCTCTGCAGACACAGTCTTTCTGCCCCCTTTTCCCTCCCCTTTCCAACACTCCCGAGATCCCACACGAATCCACAATCAGCCCCTCAAGGCCACATACACACCCTGGTTAAAGCAGATGCTGGTCAGTGGCCATCAGCCAGGACTGTTGGGTCCCATGGATCGCTGTTTTCCAGCGGGTCAGCGGCGCAAGGCCGGTGGGTCGGGGCAGCTCACCTTGCAGTTCCCAGAAGATACAGTCCAGTTCCTTCATGGAGTCCCGTATCTTGTCTTGGTAGCGGCGAATCCCGACGCCATCCATCTCCTCCACCACCACCACATCTGCCCTGTAAATGTTTGAATTCTGGCGCAGAATCCTAGGGCACAGACAGTCGTTTCACCAAGGAAAACCATTTAGCACTAAAAGCTAACAGACTTCTTCACTGGGATTCTTCGGAGGATTCTACAAAGAGGAGGGTGCTTTGGCAACATGAAGTATTGGGTAAACAGTTGTTATATAACAATTGTTATATACTGTTATTTGTTTGGCAATGCCTTTGGCAATTGCCTTTGGCAATTACCAAAGCTGGATGGTAACTTTCAAATGCTGATAGGGAGAAAGGGGGAGGCATTTTGATGATACCAATGTGTGAACAGTGCTTTGACTTGATGCTGTCGTAGAACAGCCGCTGCCGTGACAGAACAAAAATGCCAAACATACTAAATGGTGTCCAGGCTCCTGGAAAATGATTTTGATCCCACAGGCTAGAATTTGACGTGCAGCACAGCTGTAAGTAACAGACTGCCCTGCTGGGAGCACAGCCCCAAGGTACACGATGATTCAAACTCAGCTTTAATCTGTACAAGTCACAGAGATGACATCTTAACATCCAGGTAGATGTTTGAGCCAGCCCTTCATGCAGCTGAGGCCTTCAGTGCTGCTGCAAAGCCTCCTGTGGATCTCTAACTTACTGTCAGTGTGGATGTGCACCACCGAATTACAGCTGACACCCAGGAGTTATTTAGGAAGTGATAAGTTATAAATTAAACGTATCACTTGCAAGAGAAGCAATAATAAATCTTTCCAGCTACTAAGCTTGTCCACAAACCAAAAACTTTCTTGGAAATGAGCCAGTTACCTCTGCAGCCAAAGGCTGTTCACTGGGACTCAGCTGAAGGAGGGTCACCAATGCACATCCAAGAGAGCACTGCTGTAAACTGAACCCTATGGGCTTCATCTCAGATACAAACATTTTTCTGGCATTAAATGCGGGTGGTTTTCACCAGAATCCAGCAAGGAAACCGAAATTTAAAGGGACCACTGGAACAGCAGGCAGGTATCTCTCCATCCTTGTTAATTGTGTGGATGTGGTGCCCTCTGTCTCGCTGGAATAGGGAGCAGCTTTGCAGCACAGGGTGGCAGCACTGAGGGGCACAGGCAGTGGGGTCTGATTCCAGTTATCAACACCATATTTTTTCAAAGAAGAAAGCAAGTTTTTACGGGTGGAACATACCTGTCTGTGGCCAGTATTGCTACATGAAATTCCTACAAAGAGGATTGCCAAAAAAATAAAAAAAAAAAAAAAAAAAAAAAAAAAAAAAAAGGAAAAAAATCGTTAGTGTGATTATCAGAAAGGGCAGCTGTCTGAGAAATAGGCATATCCATGAAGAAAAATGGAATGTCACTGCTTACCTTGAAGAAGAGGAAAATATCTTGTTGCTCTCTCAGCTTCTGCAAAAGCTGATGATTCCGCTCAACCTCCTCTCTCCTATGTTCCATATTCTTCTTCAAGTTGTCAATGTATGCCAGTTGTTTTTTCTCATTCAATTGAATGTCACTCAGGATCTTCTCCTCTTTCTTAATCAACTCTGTCTTTATCTCGTCAAACAGCTTTTGTATCTGAGAAGTCACTGTCTTTGTATTGGTCTAAATGAAGAGATTAAGAAAATGGGGCACTAGCTCAGGAACCCCACACTTCAGCTTAGTGCCTCTCTTTATCAATTTGGATTGTATCTATCCTTTGCACTGGCGTTAGAAGGAAGCGGACAATAAGCATTTGCTTAAAATATCTGATTAAACAGAGGCTTATGAAAATTCATCCTGATATAGTAACAAAATCAGATAAAATTCAGCTACCAATGTGAGAACTGTATCTGTACACACTGAAAACCCCACCTGTAGATGCAAATTATTTTTCTTTTTTTTTCAATGGGTAGAAAACTTTAAAAATATATAATGATATATACAATCTGTGGTCTGCCAGTTCTGTAACCTGTGCAACTACAGTAAAAGGTGGAATCTCCCAGCTGGTTGCTCCTGTGGAGCTATGCTGGGAGGCTGTGAGAAAGCTTGGCTTCTGGCAGTTTCTAACACCACTGTTTTCCCTGTTTTGGACTATATCACTTTCTATTCATCTGCTTTTAACAGCATAGTTGCCATCACTTACTGTGGGAAATTGTGAAGGAAAGATGCTCTGAATTAGCAATGATCTGGGTACCAACCTTGATCTGATTCTCACTTTTTTGAAGATCTTCTAGGGCAGTAACTATGGCCCTTTCATATAGCTGCAGACGTGTCATCTTGTTCAGGAGTTTAGTCTAGCAGAAGGAAAGACAGCATTGAACTTCATAGCAGAGACAGCTTTAAACCAGACTGGCAGTTTGTGGAGCTGAAATGGCACAGGCACCTTCTGCCTGCCCCCTTTCACCAGTGAGTCCTATAATAAACTGTGTTCACTCGCCTCCTCGTAAAGATGGGGCATAACAGAAAACTGTTTAAATTTTATATATGTGTGACTTTGTGGTAGGTTAATTAATAACTTTCCCTTTGAGTAAGTAAATTTCATTTTAAATCAATAAATCTCACTTTATCTGTTAAAGCTTCACAGAATCTTCATATGTGCCTGCCTTAATGTGGTCCAAATCCTTAGTTTTCATCTGTCAGCAGCTGTGGGATCTGAGGATAAGGTAATAAGCAATTATCTTTTCTGAAAATCAGCAAAACAGCAGTACTTACTCATCCTGCTGTTTATTCTAAGGGATACTATGATCATTGAGTGCTGTGGAACTGCACAATAGCACAGTTCTGAGGAGACAGTAAACTTTGTTCTTTGGGGATTAGATAGTCTCTGAATGGCTTTGGTTGCTTCCAGCAGTGTTTTCACACTTTGAGCACCCATGAATGGCCATGACAGACACACCTCCCAGACTTCCATTTTTTTAATAAAAATCATGTCAGAAAGTTTAGATTTTCCATGAGATAGTTGTCACAGCTGTCACAGAAGTTTTAATTTTTGAAACATTAAAAGACAAACAATCGAATTTGATCAAGGCTCTTCTCACCGAAACCCCTTTACAATTCCTCCTGAAGAGCTCCATTCCCGATTTCACTGGCTATCCTGGGGAGTTTTAAAAATAACCACCCAAGAGGAATATGCAGCAGAGATCTCAGTTTACCCACAGGGATGGCTCCCCTCCTGACAGGGCAGTGTTGCTCCTTTACCAGCTCCAGGGATGAAGGAAACGGCCACTGTCTCACACAGCCCACTTGTGCTTGGCAGCTCTGAATTTTTTATATGTAATGTGAGGGAGGAGATTTCTGATAACTGCAAAGGATCCTTCCTGCTAATTCCTGAGGAGGCTGTGACCTGTCCTGAAGTTCAGAGTAAGCCAGGCATTTCCTGCCCAGCCACTGGGTTCCTGTATGGTCTTTTCCTTAGGCTCTAAACTGAGCCCAAAATTTCAAATGCAAGGCATTGAGCACAGCAAATGCATTTTATGCCCTCAGTCTCAGCTGATTCTGGAGCATTTCAAGGACAGCAGCTGGACTCAGAAGCAGGAATGTGGAGGCCCCATGTCTCTCTATCTGCTGGGCCACTGGCTCAGCAAAATTTATGGCAGAGGGAGGAACTGCAAAATCACAGAACCAATTAGGTTGGAAAAGACCTCTGAGATCATCAAGTCCAACCTGTGACCCATCCCCACCTTGTCAACCAGACCAGAGCACTGAGTGCCAAGTCCAGTCATTTCTTGAACATCTCCAGGGATGGTGACTCCACCACCTCCCTGGGCAGCCCCTTCCAATGTTTAATCGCTCTTTCTGTGAAGAAATTCCTCCTCATGTCCAACCTGAATCTCCCCTGGCACAGCCTATGTCCTCTCATCCTCTGTCCCTTGCTGCCTGGGAGCAGAGCCCAACTCCCACCATGCTACAAGGAGGGAGCTCAAAGGAAGGGCCTCAAGTGGGAAAACCTGTTTCCCCACCCAAAGTTCAGTAATAGTGGCATCCCCGAGGCTCTGTGGAGGAAGAGATTTTCTAATCCCTGAAGGAATACTTAATTCCAGCCAGGAACACCCCAGTGAGGGGCTGGCAGTTCCCTGGGGCTGCACCTCAGCATGTGGGACAGCAGGGCCCTGGGCTGCCTCTCACTCTCCCATTTCAGCACACCCTGAGGGATTTACCCAGCCTTGTCCCGGGCAGCCCCAAACACCTTTCTCTGCTCTTCTCCCTCTGCTTAGCCAGCCAGGCTGCTCTGGCAACACAAATGAGGAAAAGAAAAGCAAATTCCAGCACAATGCACCAGTCCCCGCTGGGGCAGATATTAAATCCCTGGAGCTGCTGCCTGCCTGCCCTCACCCCCCGTCCCAATCCCCATTCCCTGGTGAAAGCCTCACTGCCCCTCCTGTGGCTTCCTCCCTCCAGGTCAGGAGTTCGGACCAAACCCCGCAGGAGCCGTGGGGACAGAAGAGCTCCTTACCAGCTGCTGGTCATGTCCCTCCTTCAGGGTGAGGACCTCGTGGTTCACGTGGGCCCCCCTGATGGCGCAGAGCACGCAGATGTACTGCTCCTCGCGGCTGCAGTAGCATTCCAGCATCCTGCCGTGCTCCGGGCACCTCCTCTCCTCCGCCACACCGCCTGCTCTCACCTCCACCAGGATGTGGTCCTGGTAGGAAGCCTTGGAGTTGTGTTTGTTCAGATGGGCCTGGCACAAGGACGCATCGCAGACCAGGCAGGTTTTCACCGCTGGCTGGGTCTCATCCAGGCAGTACTCACAGGGGAACACCTCTGTCTCCCCCTCTTCAGAGCCCTTGCCCTGTTTTTCTTCAGAAATCTTGGCCTGAAATGCCTTCACGATGTTGCACAGGTGGAAATTCTTCTGCAGCTCCAGGTTGGGCCCCAGGTGGAGCCTGCACAGGGGGCAGGTTAAAGGAGCCTGCGATTGTTTCTGGGCTGTGAGCACCTTCTTGATGCACTGCTGGCAGAAGGTGTGACTGCAGCTCAGCGACACTGGGTCCTTGTACAGGCACAGGCAGATGGAACACGTGAGTTCGGCCTCCAGGCTGGCACCCCCTTCAAATTCTGCACTAGCTTTTTCCATGGCTGCAGCGAGGGCGCCTAACCCAGGCTGCGAGAAACGAAACTGACAAGGCGGGAGACCCAGCCCAGACGCTGCAAGTACTTCCTCTCCGCTCCCCTCACGGAGAGAGATGTTCCCTCCCCCGGCTCCACCCTCCGACAGTTCCTGGACGCCCTGGCAGCCACTTTGGAAAGTTTTCTCTCAGTCTCGGGCAGCACTGCGCTGGTGTGGGCTCCCACCGGGATGCTGGGAGCAAGGGGTGCTGGGGTGAGCACGAGATGGACAATTCTCTTGCAGCCTTCTGCCCTCCTCCCCGAAAAATTCTCCGTTCCACAACAAGGGCAGCAAATTTGAGATTAACCCTGGATGAGAATGAGCCTAGCAGGGGTAAGCCTACAACTTCCCAACAGTCCCAGGTGCTCCATAGGGGTAAAATAAGAACCTAAAGGAAAGTTGGACTGGGACTTGTTTAGGCAGATCTACCTGCAGCCAGCTGACAGGAAAGTGGGGGTTGGTAAAAGCTCTCAGGCACTATTTCTAGGATAAGAATAGCCCTGTGCCATGTCATGAGCCTTGCTTATCCCTCTTTGTGCCTGTACCAACTGCGAGGCAGAGCAGCAGCCACTGCAGGTGCATTTGGGAGACCCAACTCCACCTGCATGATTTTCCGTATCATTTTGGTGTATAAAATGAAAAAGAAAAAACACAGCTTCCTTCCAGGACTAAACATGAATGTATTTTAGCATATGCAAACCTGTAGCGTCCCTCAAGGTCTTTCACTGTCCCTGCTGGGGTGAAGAGCTCCTGCTTGGGATGCTTCATGCAAATAACTGCGTCTGAAGGCAGCAGAAACACAAGCAACTGGCAGGAATATCATCTCTTCCTCCCCAAGGTGTTTGGACAAGCATAAAAATTTACTAATCCAGACCACATATGGCACAGGCGGTTTTGCTTCTGCATCGGATGCCTTTGATTGGGCAGGATGGGCACAGGCAAAAGCTGCTGCCTTAGAGCCAAGATCAACATTGCTGCTGCTTAGTTTTGTTGCAGTTCCTATTGTGCTCTCAACTTTAGGACAAAATCAATTGCCACTGACTTTTGCAAACTGAATTACTTTAATAACATGCTGCCAACACAGTATTTGATACAGCCGAGCAAAAATGAGCAACTTAATAGTATTTCCATCATGGTTAACAGAACAAATAAGAGAGAAGCTCTTGTAGTAAGAGGCAGTGACATACCCCACAGAGGCCATCACAGCAACCCATAAACCCTTTTCTGATATGACAGCTTAACAACCCTCCCCCTATACAGCAACGGTCCCAATTCCTAGGCCTGGAAATACAAAGCAACACCTTCTCCCCACATCAAAATAGGAGCTTCAAAGAGCCATCAGACACGCTGATGGCAGCATGGACTGGATACTTCAAAGGGATGCTTACTGTCTCTATAAGCCTGAGGCAGGGTGTTTCTTCAGCAGTCCAAGTCTGCCCATACCACTTCGAGGTTGTTGGCCTAGGAACACGCAGAGGTAATCGTGAGGCACTTGCAGGCAGCACTCAGACAGGGCACAAATGATTCCAAGCTTCCAGCAGCTCTCATTGTTGGTGTTCACCTCCCAGAAACCCTGGACACTCTGCATGTCTGGGACAGCACTGCACATATTTGAGTTCTGTCCTGGTTTTGGCTGGGATAGAATTCATTCTCTTCTCAGTAGCTGGTACAGTTGATTCAGTAGGAGAATAATGTTGATAACCCACTGATGGATGGTTTGGCTGTTGCCGAGCAGTGCAAGGGTCCTAAGTCAAGACCTTTCAGTGCCTCATGCTCTGCTAGTGAGGAGCTGCACAAGAAAGCTGGGGAGGAGCATAGCTGGGGCAGGTGACTCAAACTGGCCAAAGGGATATCCCACACCACAGAACACCATGCACAGTATATAAACAGCAGGAGGTAGGCAGAAGGGGCCAATCACTGCTCAGGAACAATGTCTGCACATCATAGAAAGGGCAGGTGGAGAGCAATTTTATTGTGCATCACTTATTTTAGTTGGCTTTTCTCACTCTCTTTGCTCCTTTCTATTACCGTTATCATTAGTAGTTGTATCTTTATTATTATATTTTGCTTTGTTTCAGTTATCAAACTGCTCTTATCTCAACCCACAGGTTTTACAAATTTTTCAGAATTTCTTAGAAAACCCACCAAAGCTAGTATTTGAACAAAGAGCTAGAGCCAAATAGGCCAGTGGTAGAGGAAGAAGCAGGATTTGAAGAGCTAGAGCCAAACAAGAAGCCAGTGGTAGAGGAAAAAGCAGGATTTGAAGAGCTAGAGCCAAACGAGAAGCCAGCGGCAGAGGAAAAAGCAGAATTTGAAGAGCTGCCTTGGGAGGAGTTACAGCCAAAAGAGAAGCCAGAGGAAGGGATAAAAATAGTTTGGTAATGTGGATGCTGGGGTCCACCTGTACCGCTGTGAGGAGCTGATAACCGCACAACTTTAAAACATAAAGAAAGAGAAAAAACACATTATGATTAACAGATAATTGTGCATTGATGAAAGCTGGATTTCCCAATCCAACTCATCCAAGTCACCCAAGTCCAACCCACCCAAATCATATGTTAACTGAAACACCTTCTGCACTCTCTTAGCTGCTCCTATGTAATTCTGAGGTGGGTGGACAGCACATTTTGGGAAATGCTGCTCTTTCAGTTTTAGCACAGTGTGCTTCTTAGTGTACCCAAGGCTGTAGAGATGGTGGCCAGATGGGTGTGCACATCACTCACTGTCACACACGCTCCAACCCCAGCTGTCTCAGCCTTGACCCACAGCTCACTCTCACTGTCAGTGAGGGCTGAAGCACCATCAAGACAGCAGTAACAAGGGAACCCTGATTTTTTCGATTCAGTTGGACAAATGCCCCACCATGTACAGCTCTGGGATTGTAGGCTGAGCATACAAAGCATTACCAAAAAGCAGAATTATTTGCACAGAAAGAGCAGAGTATTTATGTCGTTAACAAACTCCACCTGCTGCTGCTGTGATGAGTTCTCAACTTTCCCCTTGAATCAAAGGCATGCCACAGACAGGGGAGGAGTTGCTGTTATCTTCTCTAAATCCTTACGGAAAACTCCTAGAAATTCCACACCTCTTTGCCCAGAGCCTGTTTTAACAGGGTGTATCCAAAGCATGCCCCAAAACACTGAAACCCAGGACAGGTTTCCCTTTCTGTACACACATTTGCATTTGTATGCAAATAAGCACACAAAGTTAGGAATCAACCCTTGTAGGGGTACTTCGTGTACTTGGTGTCTTGTATTACAACCCTTTCTTAAAGATGTTTTGTTGACTTTTCCATCTTGCTTTTGCTATAGTGAAATGATCACTTACCAGGTGGTGGTTTAATTGAGGACTCCATGTTTGAAAGGAATTGCTGGAAAAGGGAGAGAACATTGCGTGTTTTTGATTCATCCAAAGCAATAGGTGGGTTTGGCACTTTCACATCATCCGTGATAGGAACAGGCTTCCGTTCCCTAATACATGCAGAAAGAATCGTAGAACCATAGAATCATAAAATCATTAAGGCTGGAAAAGACCTCCAAGATCATCAAGTCCAACCTGTGGCCCATTCCCATCTTGTCAACCAGACCAGAGCACTGAGTCTCAAGTCCAGTTGTTCCTTGAACATCTCCAGGGATGGTGACTCCACCACCTCCCTGGGCAGCCCCTTCCAATGTTTAATCACCCCTTCTGTGAAGAAATTCCTCCTAATGTCCAACTCAATCTCCCTTGGCACAGCGAGACACTATGTCCTCTCATCCTGTCCCTTGTTCCCTGGGAGCAGAGCCCAACCCCCACCTGGCTCCACACTCCTGTCAGGGAGTTGGAGAGAGTGAGAAGGTCCTCCCTGAGTCTCCTTTTCTCCAGGCTGAGCCCCCCCAGCTCCCTCAGCCACTCCTCACATGACTGACTCTCCAGACCCTTCCCCAAATCAGTTGTCCTTCTCTGGACACGCTCCAGTCCCAAATGTCTTTCTCGCCATGAGGGGCCCAGAAGTGGACACAGCACTCAAGGTGTGGCCTCACCAGTGCCCAGTGCAGAAGGACAATCACTTCCCTGGGCCTGATGGCCACACTATTTTTGGTACAGGTCAGGATTCCATTGGCTTCTTGTCCACCTGGGCACACGCTGGCTCATTGTTCAGCCACTGCTGACCAGCACCCCCGGGTCCTTTCCCACCAGGCAGCTTTCCAGCCACTCTTCCCCCACCTGTAGCTGGGGTTGTTGTGACCCACGTGCAGGACCTGGCGTTTTGCCTTATTGAACCTCATGCAGTTGTCCTCTGCCCGTCGATCCAGCCCATCCAGATCCCTCTGCAGAGCCTTCGTGCCCTCCAGCAGATCAACACTCCCACCCAACTTACTGAGAGTGCACGTGATCCCCTCGTCCAGATCATCAGTAAAAATATTAAACCTTGGGAAGATCTTACCTGGCTTGAATTGCTGTAAAAGCCTGTAACGACATTTTGAAAGTAGAATTAGCATAGCACCGGCACAGGCCAGCCCAAGGGCTGTGTATCTCTGGGAAGGGGAATGCTGTTAGGTACCCTGGTGAAAAGAAGTATATCTTTCTGATTTCTCAGAGCCTCCAGCTCCTGAATATCATGGCTGGCTGAACGCTTCTGCTCTCTGTGGTTCTTTAACTCCATGTGAATCCGAGAAATTTGTTGGTTCTCATAGTCACTGAGAGCTTTCAGGATCTCACGTTTTTTTTTCTCTAACTGCAGACTGATCTCTTTGAATAGGCTCTCCAGCCGTTGCCACTGCAGACCCTCCTTAACCTATTAAGAAAACACTTTCAAAGCTGTAAGGGACTGTGTAGGGACATTTTCCACACGAGCTCTCACTCAGAAAAGGGCCTGTTCTTTTCCGGGATGAGAGAAGTAACAAAAGTTGAATAAGGTTGGAAAAATAAAAAAGCCACACACCAATCACTCATCAGGAGGCACGGATTTAACAACAACTTTCAAGCTTAACTAAGAATGTACCTCCCAGACGGATAAGAAAGCTGTTCATCATCCTCCCTCAAAGAAGAAAACTCAAAAATACACTAGAAACCACCCAGGATCTAAAAAAAGCTTCAGAATCCATGATCTGGGAAAGGGCAAAAGAAAACCTTATCTCATTAGTTACCAGCATGCAACCATCCCCAAAGTGATATGGGTCTTGGAACAAACCTTTACTTCCTCCGCTTGTTCCAGTAAGTTTGCTATGCTTCGATCCAGCGCAGCTTCATAGTTTTTCACCTCTTTTAGAGTTTCGGGAAAAACACGCTACAAATATTACCAGTGGGAGATATCAGGATAGGACTCACATACATGCATGAAACCAGCAATTTTATAGACATGGGCTAAGCTAGACTTGCCAAAGGTTTGCTCACTAAATGCTCTCAGGACAAATCAATACAGAAAGGTTTACTGCAAGATTTTATCCCTGAACAAATGCCTCAATTACTAGCACAAGAACAACAATTTGAAACTGAAAACTGTTCATGTATAATAGCCACACATAAAGCTACTTCTGCTGCTGGCAGCTTCCTTTCTGTTACTCTCTCATTAATTTTCTTTGCATAACTGCGGCTCAGGCCGATCTTTGGCTTGGAAGTGCACCAAAGCCACGAGCACTTGGTCCCACTCTCCCCAAACTCTCCCCTCAGGATGGGAAGAAAGTATTTACAACATCTCGGTTTACATCCCAGGGGGCAAGCCCAGAGGGAACCTGAGACTAAACTGAGAATAAAAGCCCAAGATGGGAATTTAACCCCACGCTGGGTCTGCAGTTCTGAAACTCGGGAGGAGTTCCAGCCCTGTGCTGCGGGCAGCTCCCCGCGCCGCAGCCCCCCGTGGTTTTCCTAATGCAATCCATGCCCGAGCCGCTGTCCCGGCAGCCTCTTACCTGTGCTTGGCCAAAAGCCTCCTCTAAGCTGATGATCTTGTGCTCCCTGTGGGAGCTGAGGACGGAGCACAGCATGCAGATGCAGACCTTGTCCATCTCGCAGTAGCATTCCAGCAATTTGCCGTGCTGGGGGCATTTCCTCTCAGCCAAAACCTGGGCACCACAGGGCTCCACCAGGACGTGGTTCTGGGTGTTCTTTGTGCTGTGCTTGCTCAGGTGGGCTTGGCACAGGGAGGCCTCGCAGGTCAGGCAAGTCTTCACGGCTGGATAGGGCTCCTGAAGGCAGAAATCACACAGGATCACCTCCTCTTGCTGGTCTGAACTTTCCTCCTCTTTGCATTGCACTTTCTGCTTTTCTTCCCCTTGATGAACAGAAGCATCCAGAAAGTTCTGCACTATGTTGCGGAGATGGAAGTTGGGCTTCAGCTCCCCAGTGGGGCCTGTGGGGGAAAGGCAGAGCGGGCACTTGGAAGAGCCCTGCTGGCATTTCTGATCCTTCTGGATGCACTCCTCGCAGAAGCTGTGACCGCACCCCAGGGACACGGGGTTCCTGTAAATGTCCAGGCAGATGGGGCAGGTCAGCTCGTCCTTCAGCTTGGCCACAGCACCCGCCTCGGCCATGGCGCCTGAGCCTCGAGAGAGAGCTGAGGGCAAGAAGGAGGGCACTGGGGGGAAATGAAACTGAAAGCGGGAGTGGAACAAGACCTCTCGTTTGCTCTGCGGGCAAAAAGCTGCTGCCTCCTCCCCCTTTAAAGGGAGGGTCTTCCCTCTCCTCCACCGAGCTTCCTGTGTCTCGCCTGCCACGTGAATTCGTCACAGCTGAATTCCATTCAGCAGCTCAGAGCTGGGAGCTTGGGTGCTTCAAGGGTAACAGGGCAAGTAGTCCACCCCTGCTTACACGGGGATGCAGCAGCCAGGACTCGGAGCGGGAAGGAAAGCTGGGAGGAGTCCCTGCGGCCATGGGGCAGCTGCTGCGGGCAGGGAGCCCCGGACAGCTGGACCAGCAGGGAGAGAGGTCCCCGAGCCGGCAGGGAGGAAAAGAACCAAACCTGCCCCTGTTCGCCTCTGCAAAGACACCTGGATGGACCTGGACAACAAACTGGGACTGATAAATGCTGAGAGTGGGCAAATGCATCCATTACTTAAAGTGCAGCCTCCAGAGCCCCTGTAGAGACCTTGAGTGGCATAAAACTGAGGTCTGTGTCAGGGAGTGGGGAGCTCCTGCACCTAGCAGAGCCCAGGGCAGGATTTGGTGTCGGTGCTCAAGGCACAGGTGGGAGCTGCAGCTCCAAAGAGCAGCCCAGGACAGCTCACTGGGCAGTGAAATGAAGTCCAAGCAGCAGGTGTTTCACACTGGTCAGGAGCAGGAGCCTGGGGTGTGCTGCCCACACCACCTGCTGCCCACACTGCCTGCCAGGTGCTAGCCAGCCCATGGCAGTGACCAAAGCTGTCCTATCCACAAAAGCTCATGACTGACTGATTTTCCCCTCTCACAAGGCACACTGTGCCTAGCCCAGGAGATAAATAACACTGCCTCTCTCCCCTCCAGCAGCTGGAGAGGAGCCTTGTAAGTGACTACAAAAGCAGTGCTTGTCCGTGTGAAAATGAGTTTATCACTAACTTTTATCACTAAGTTATGCCAAAATGAAAACTTTCCCACTGGCTTTTTCCAAATGGTTGGAACTAATTGCTGGGACTAACAGAGCTGCTGAAATGATGTTGACGTTCAGCAACAGCTCCCTTCAGTCTCTAGGTCTGCTCTCAGAAATTATCCCAATTTGCAATTATGCTTGATAAACAATATCAGTTGTTTATTTTCCAGGAAGCTGCCTAGGAGGCACAGGTCAGGCTGGGAGGACAAACCTAAACTGTGGGTCTCTCTGCAGACCTTTCCTTCATGTGCCGCAGCCTGGGAACCCACTTCCATGCCTCTGCTCCCACATGAACCCACCCTAGGCACACCAACACCAGCTGCCTCAGCAGCATCCCCATGTTTCCCCCTGCAAGTTCATGTTTTCATCTATCCTGGCACTGTTACTGTGCCTGATGTATTTCAGAAAAATACTTCTGGTTTGGTGGTCCTGAAGCCTGCTGGTTTTGAAAAGCAGCAGGGAATGGGCTTCTGATCAGTTCTCCACTCAGGTTGCAGCAGTTACAGGGATGAGGGGCTGGGTTTGGGGTGGGACGCTGGTTCTGGCTTTGTGGTGGGCTGGGGGACCCACACTGGGCTCCTACCAGCTGTGCTGGACACAGACAGATGTAGAGCTGCTGCCTAAATTGGTGCACACCCACAAAACACCAGCTGGGACAGCTCAGCACCTTGCAGACCTGCTCCTCTCAGGCTGCTGGGATCCTCCTGCTCGGCCACATCACCGAGCCACGTCCTTGATAAATCCAGTACAACCTCTCTGACCTGGCGAGCCCTCACAGGGGCAACAGCTGGCACGAGGCTCCCGTGTGCCAGGTGCTCCAGGGCAGCTGCCTTCCATCCCAGTGCTTCCACAGCCTGGAATCCCCCGATGACCAGGACACCAGGACACCCTGTGCTGGGACACAGTGGCCGTGCCTCTGGGAGAGCAGGCTGGTTCCCAGGGGACTGCTCTCCTGCTTCCAAGGGACTGTCCAGGTGCCATCCTGAGCTGTACAGTTGCTGTATCACCATCTGGAGTCTTTTCCACACTTTTTCTTGCTCTCTTACTCCCACTCAAGCAAATTTGAGGTGCATGCCCCACTTCATCTTTAACCCTCCCAGTCTGGAGGGTTTCTTCTGCAGTGGGTCTTGTGACATCGGCACCGCTCCAAAGTCCAGAATACGGAGCCCAGGATTTTCCTGCACGAATTAAACTGGAAGAAGCCACACTATATATAGCAATATACAGGGATATTCCCCCACAGGAGCTGCATCCCTGGCATCCCTGGTGTGAGCCAGCTGGGGGGTTCTGCCACCCCCATGGCCCCAGACTTGCCCCCACAGTCCAACTGCCCAAGCAGATGCAGGAGAGCACCTTCAGCAGAGCAAAACGCCTCCTCCCCGAACAGCCTTGCACTAACAAATTAAAATATTGCAGCACAAACTTGTTCTTTTGATTTTTTTTTCCCACTTTATAGTATATATGTTATCGTTTATTTATAGGCAGATCACTTCACTATTTACAGTACATGAGCGTAGAGATTCTACAGTCTTTTTGATGTAAACAATTAACTCCACGGCAGGGGAGTCTGGAAAAAGAAGCCAGTTCTGAAGTATTTACACAATTTAAAATAGAACTTTTATACCCACTGGATAGATATAGAGAATACATTGAGCGATTTGGTTAAATTATCTATGAAACTATAGAATCTGACAATGTAAAAATACAAGAAAACGTTCTCTCATTTTAGAAGGTAGACAGTTAAATCACACTAGAAATAAATCTCTTTTTTTTTTTAAAAATAATAACAATAATAATAAAGGAAAGGCATAAGAATCCATGCCATCTTTTAAGGTTAAAGTATATTACATAAATAAGGACACAACAGAAAGGAACTGGGGAAAAAAATTAAGTGAAATATAAAAAAACCACTACCAATTGAAAAAAAAATACTAAAAACTTGATTCTTTATCACAGTGGGATCAATTCTGCTACTTTTACTTACTCTGCAAGTAGAAAACTGCAGTTAAGTAGTACTTACTCAGCATGAGCAAGGGAGGCAGAATTGGCCCCTAATAATTATGAGCAGTGTCCTTTTACTTAAAAAAAAAGAAAAAAAAGAAGAAAAAGACAGAATTTAGTTTTTTTTTTTTTCATAAATAACAAAGCAGATGTGCCCCTTTTTTGGTGAAATTCTTACACCTTTCTCAAGAAATGCATCAATTTAACTGTTCTCTCTGTTTCTCGCATGCATACACACACTCCCTCCCCGACTCTTGTGTTGCAGCCAAGCTGCTGCTGTCCCTGACCCCAGGGAGGGTGAGGGAAGAGGAATGAAACCCCAAGGCTGCGTTTGGCTCTATATTGCTTGAGATTGTCGGGGATGGACTACAATGCTTAGAACGGAAAGGGTGTCGGGTTGAACACCGATGTATCTTAGGATTCAGCATACCTCCAGGAAGAAGGAAAAAAAAAATCAAAAAGAAAGGATAAAACTGTGTTGATCTGCAATTGCAATACTCCTTTGCATGGACCAGAGCTGAAATCAGACAGGACTGTAACATGGTGACTGAGCTGCTTCATTCAAGATGTGCAGCCCAGCCAGCTGCGCTGAGGAATCGGGATAAACATTTTCTTTGGGGCAGCATCAAACCTAAAACCTGGGATTGTCCTCTGCATTCAGCCCACACACTCAGAAACATTTGCTCCTTCCTGCGGAGCCTCAGGGACCCACTGGATTCCAGCCAGAAATCCAGTATCCCACCCTGAACAACAAGCTTTTCTGGGGCAAACCTGTGCAAAACAAGCAAAGGGGCATTTTATCACGAAACTCTTCACATTCAGCATTTCCCCACAGCACCCACAGGAAGTGACTGAGGGACATTCTATAATTACATATTTTTAAAAAAATAAATCTCCTCCTGACTTATTGCCTACCAAAGTAAACCCTTCTGCTCCCAGTTTCTCTTTGAAGCTGTATTCCTACCTATCCCACAGCCCCCTCGAAGGGGCTGGGGTGTTAGGGTTCCCTTTTTGGGGTGCCCAGCTCCGAGCTGCACCCGCCCTGGGGCACCCACATCGATGCCACAGGCTGGATGGGACATAAAGGCAATCCTTGGAGAGAGGGGGATCCCCACTCTCTGGCAGTTCCTGAAAAATTGTGTGCCCCTGGCTTGCCTGGTAGCATTGTCTGCCTCCCCCCACACAGTGCCCAGGCATTGCTTTGCTCCCGCCCCACTTCCCTGTCAGCATCCAAAACAGTCACAGGCTGCTAAGGGACAGAGCTCTCACCTGCCCCTGTGCCCAAGCTCACCTTCCTGCCCCTGTGCAGACTTGAGCACTGTGAGTTAAAGACACCTTTATAGTAAAAAGAACCACCCCCCCAAAAAAAATCAAGTGGAAACTTACTTTTTACCACAAACCCTGCATGAGGGACTCTAAACCCAGAAAAGCTGCTCTCTCCACTCTCACTCAATCCTAAAATTTGGAGGAAGCCACCAGGGCAGGCAGCACATGTTCCCAGGACAGGCAGCACACAACCCATGGGGCTCTAAGCATAGTGCATAAGATCTAGAAAAAATTTCTTGGGGAAGAGGGAAAACAAACCATCCCAATTTAATGGAAAAAAAAGTAAAAACCCAAAGAAAAAAAAAAACAACCCCACTTATAGACTTCAGGCACCTCGAAGACCACTTATTGCATCTCTTCCTACCCTATGGCTGCAGTACTGATCAGCTCTGTGCAGGACCAGCCCTCCCCTTCCCAAGCACTGCTCTCAGGATCCAGCAGCTGGGCACAGGCAGGGGCTGTGGGCCAACCTGGGGTGCCCAGCTGCAGGAAAACAATGTGAAATTTTTTATCTGGATACACCAAAACCAACGCTTGGGAAGCAACTGAGTGATCCTCCAGGAGTGGGCTGGAGTCCCCCCAGCTCTGCACTAACCCTTCCCCTCCACCACGCTTGATGCATCCCCAGCGGGGCCCGGCCATGGGTGCCCCTGGCTGAGCGGGAGATGGAAGAATTCCACTTACTTAGCTATTTTGTTTTTGTTTTTTTTTTTGTTTTTTTTTTTTTTGTTTGTTTTGTTTTGTTTTGTTGGCTTTTTTTTTGGATTGATCGTTTTCTGAAAAACATCAGCACAGCACAGGACAGTACTACCCACCCTAAATGTGTCGCTATATACATTCTACATAAGCTCTATAGCAATCACATGTAAACATCATCATCGTGAGGAAATAC